CATTGGGGACACTGTGACACCCCCAGGGCACAGCACCGGCCCCCGCGGGGGTCCCTGTCCAGCTGGAACCGCCTGTGGGGACATGGGGGACATTGGGGACACTGTGACACCCCCATTGGGGACACTGTGACACCCCCAGGGCACAGCACCGGCCCCCGCGGGGGTCCCTGTCCAGCTGGAACCGCCTGTGGGGACATGGGGGACATTGGGGACACTGTGACACCCCCATTGGGGACACTGGGGACACTGTGACACCCCCATTGGGGACATTGGGGACACTGTGAAACCCCCAGGGACAGAGGTGAGACCCCTAGGAGAGGATGTCACCCCCCAAGCCCCCCCCTAGAACACAAGGTCACCCAGGCCCCCCAGGACACGATGTCCCCCCCACTGCTGTCCCCATTGTCCCAACTGTCCCCAGTGTCTCCACAGTGCCCCTGCAGTGTCCCCACTGTCCCCGCTGTCCCCAGTGTCCCTGCTGACCCCACTGTCCATGCAGTGTCCCCACTGTCTGCAGTGTCCCCACTGTCCCTACAGTCCCTGGTGTGCATGGTGTCCCCAGTGTCCCTGCGGTGTCCCCACAGTGTCCCTGCTGTCCTCATTGTCCCCACTGTCCCCATTGTCCCTGCAGTGTCCCAGGTGTCCTCACTATCCCTGCAGTGCCCACTGTCCCCGCAGTCCCCACAGTGTCCCCGCAGTGTCCCTGCAGTGCCCACCGTCCCTGGTGTCCCCGCAGTGTCCCTGGTGTCTGTGGTGTCCCCGCTGTCCCCACAGTGTCCCCACAGTGTCCCCGCAGTGTCCCTGCAGTCCCCACCGTCCCTGGTGTCCCCGCTGTCCCTGCAGTGTCCCCGCTGTCCCCACCGTCCCTGGTGTCCCCGCTGTCCCTGCAGTGTCCCTGCTGTCCCCAGTGTCCCCGCTGTCCCTGCAGTGTCCCTGCTGTCCCCAGTGTCCCCGCTGTCCCTGCAGTGTCCCTGCTGTCCCCAGTGTCCCCGCTGTCCCTGCAGTGTCCCTGCTGTCCCCAGTGTCCCCGCTGTCCCTGCAGTGTCCCTGCTGTCCCCAGTGTCCCCGCTGTCCCTGCAGTGTCCCTGCTGTCCCCAGTGTCCCCGCTGTCCCTGCAGTGTCCCTGCTGTCCCCAGTGTCCCCGCTGTCCCTGCAGTGTCCCTGCTGTCCCCAGTGTCCCCGCTGTCCCTGCAGTGTCCCTGCTGTCCCCAGTGTCCCCGCTGTCCCTGCAGTGTCCCTGCTGTCCCCAGTGTCCCCGCTGTCCCTGCAGTGTCCCTGCTGTCCCCAGTGTCCCCGCTGTCCCTGCAGTGTCCCTGCTGTCCCCAGTGTCCCCGCTGTCCCTGCAGTGTCCCTGCTGTCCCCAGTGTCCCCGCTGTCCCTGCAGTGTCCCTGCTGTCCCCAGTGTCCCCGCTGTCCCTGCAGTGTCCCTGCTGTCCCCAGTGTCCCCGCTGTCCCTGCAGTGTCCCTGCTGTCCCCAGTGTCCCCGCTGTCCCTGCAGTGTCCCTGCTGTCCCCAGTGTCCCCGCTGTCCCTGCAGTGTCCCTGCTGTCCCCAGTGTCCCCGCTGTCCCTGCAGTCCCTGCAGTGTCCAGCTGTCCCCACAGTGTCCCAGCTGTCCCCACAGTGTCCCCGCAGTGTCCCTGCAGTCCCCACCGTCCCTGGTGTCCCCGCTGTGTCCCCACAGTCCCCACAGTGTCCCTGCAGTGTCCCTGCAGTCCCCAAAATATGGGATTGGCACCCCAAACCCAGGATTCCCACCCAAAAACCTGGGATTCCCACCCCAAAATATGGGATTCACGCCCCAAAATTTAGAATTCACCCCCCCAAACTCAAGCCTGGTACTCGCGCCCCCTCTCGGGGCTGCTCACCCGCTCCCCGCCCCCCCCCAAAACTGGGATTAACACCCCAAAACATGGCATTTACACCCCAAAATATGCCATTTACCCCCCAAAATTTGGGATTCACCCCCCCAAACTCAAGCCTGGTACTCGCGCCCCCTCTCGGGGCTGCTCACCCGCTCCCCGCCCCCCCCCAAAACTGGGATTAACACCCCAAAACATGGCATTTACACCCCAAAATATGACATTTACACCCCAAAATATGACATTTACACCCCAAAATATGACATTTACACCCCAAAATTTGGGATTCACCCCCCCAAACTCAAGCCTGGTACTCGCGCCACCTCTCGGGGCTGCTCACCCGCTCCCAGCCCACCCCAAAAACTGGGATTAACACCCCAAAACATGGCATTTACACCCCAAAATATGACACTTACACCCCAAAATTTGGGATTGACCCCCCGAACCCCAGGATTGACCCCCCAAACTCACGCCTGGTACTCGCGCCGCCTCTCGGGGCTGCTCACCCGCTCCCAGCCCGCCCGCAGCACCTTGAACGCCGCCTCCGCCCGGGGGTCGCGGCTCTTGTCGGGGTGCACCTGCCAAGGCACGGCCCTCAGCGTCCCCAGCGTGTCCCCAAGGTGTCCCCAGGGTGTCCCCAAGGTGTCCCCAAGACCCACCAGCACCGCCAGCCTGCGGTACGCCCGCCGCAGCTCGGTGTCGCTGGCCGTGGGCTCCACCCCGAGCACCCGGAACGGGTCCAGCTCCTCCTCGGCCACCTCGGCCATGGCCACCAAACGTGTCACCTCCTCGTCACCTCGCCGGCTCGCCCGCCGCCGGAGCCACTCGGCCAGCAGCTCCCGGGAACGGCGGAGCCCCGCGGAGCCGCCGCGCAGGAAGGAGCGGAGCCCGCCGAGGAGGAGGAGGACGAGGAGGAAGAGCAGCGCCAGGAGAGCCCCGAGCAGGCGCAGGCACAGCGCGACCCCCGCCCGGGCCACCCGCAGCGTCCCCCGCTGTCCCCCGGCGGTGTCGCCGAGCTGCCGGTCGGGCTCGTCGTGGCGTTGTCGCCGCCGAGCCCCGCGGGGGTCGCCGTTGTCCCGCGGGGGTCCCCGGTGGCGGCAGCCGAGACCGCACGGGAGGTCCCGGGAGGGGCTCGGGGGAGCGGCCGGGGGACCCCGGCAGCCACAGCGACCCCCGGGGGAGGGGACACCCTCAGGGCTGGGGACATCCTCGGTGGTGGGGACACCACCGGGGCTGGGGACACTCCCGGGTCTGGTGACACTCCCGGGGTTGGGGACACCACCGGGGTTGGGGACAGTCCCAGGGTTGGGGACACTCCTGGGGTTGGTGACACTCCCAGGGTTGGGGACACCCCGAGCACTGGGGACACCACCGGGGCTGGTGACACTCCCGGGGATCTCAGGTTTGGGGATACGGCCGGAGTTGGGGACACTTCTGGAGCTGGGGATGCCCTCAGGGTTGGGGACACTCCCAGGGCTGGTGACACCCCGAGGACCGGGGATGCCACCGGAGCTGAGGACACTCCCGGGGCTGGGGACAGTCCCAGTGTTGGGGACATCCTCAGGAGTGGGGACACTCCTGGGTTTGGGGACACCCTCAGGACTGGGGACACCCCCAGAGTTGGGGTCACTCCCAGAGTTGGGGACACCCTCAGAACTGGGGACACCCCCGGGGTTGGGGTCACTCCCGGGGGTTTTGGGGTCACTCCCGGGGTGTTTGGGGTCACTCCCGGGGGGTTTGGGGACGCTCCCGGGGTGTTTAGGGACGCTCCCGGGGGGTTTGGGGTCACTCCAAGAGTTGGGGACACCCTCAGAACTGGGGACACCCCCGGGGTTGGGGTCACTCCCGGGTGGTTTGGGGTCACTCCCGGGTGGTTTGGGGTCACTCCCGGGGGGTTCGGGGTCACTCCCGGGGGGTTTGGGGACACTCCCGGGGGTTTTGGGGACACTCCCGGGGGGTTTGGGGTCACTCCAAGAGTTGGGGACACCCTCAGAACTGGGGACACCCCCGGGGTTGGGGACACTCCCGGGTGGTTTGGGGTCACTCCCGGGTGGTTTGGGGTCACTCCCGGGGGGTTCGGGGTCACTCCCGGGGGGTTTGGGGACACTCCCGGGGGGTTTGGGGTCACTCCCGGGGTGTTTGGGGTCACTCCCGGGGGGGCCCCCCGCCTCACCGCCCCCGGCCCGAGCCCCCGCTCCCGCCCCGGGGGGATTCGGGCCCGCGGTGTTGTTCCCGAAGTTGGTGTTTGCTGAGTTAGTCCCTGGAGTGTTGTTTTCTAAAGTGTTGTTTCCTAAAGTGTTGTTTTCTAAATTGTTGTTCCCCGAATTTTTACCGCCCGAATTGTCGCCCCCCGAATTGTCACCCCCCAAATTATCACCTCTCAAATTATCACCTCCCAAATTTTTACCCCTCAAATTTTTACCCTCCAAATTATTACCCCCCAAACTATCACCTCCCAAATTATCACCTCTCAAATTATTACCCCCCAAATTTTTACCCTTCAAATTGTCACCCCCCAAATTATCACCTCCCAAATCATCACCCCCCAAATTTTCACCCCCCAAATCATCACCCCCCAAACTATTATTTCCCCCCAAATTATTATTTCCCGAATTATTTTTGCCCGAATTATTACTCCCCGAATTAGCGTTGCCCAAATTAGCGTTCCCTAAATGACCCCCTAAATTGCCCCCTAAATTGCTCCCCAAATTATTGTAGCTCCCCGAATTATTCCCGTTTTTAACCCCGGGATTCGCTGAATTCTTCTGGGCATTTTTGGCGGGATTCTTGCTGGAATTCCCTGAATTTTTCTCGGAATTCGCTGAATTTTTCTCGGAATTCCCCGAATTTTTCTCGGAATTCTTGGCGGGGTTTTTGCCCGAATTCTTGCCGGGGTTTTTGCCCGAATTCCCAGGGTTTTCCACGTTTTTCTCCCCCGCTGTCCCTCCTCCTCCTCC